CGCATGGTTTCAACGCATCTATCGATTGGTAGTTTTATCCTGACCGGATAAAACTTCCTTCAGATTTCTACGTGATTCGAAGAAGAAACACAGCTGACTAATACTAACTATTTGCAATTCTACGTTGAGGCTCGACATAATACGTGGCTGTAGCTTGTTGCATAATTCTTCAAGAATGTTCTTCAAGCATTCGAATTTATGTGCAATACTAATCAATGAACTATGGTCGGTATTCAAAATCGGTTTTAATTTTAAAACTGTCTTAAGTAATGTCTTAAAATGATAATGATGGCTCTGTAATTGATTTTTGACATCTCGGTCTTAAATACATATAAAAATCGATATAAATACCAAATTACATTTTAGGGATTTTCATAAATTTATTATTTGAAACAAGAGGAAAACCTGAAAAAGTGTTTTTAAAATGCGGTTTGTCGTACAAGATAAATGGATGGTATAAATACAATTCGAATTATTACGTTTTCATCGCGATCTCGACGATAGCAGCAGACAGTAACGTTGTACTCGGTTCGTATTAATGTCAACTGTATTAAACCGTCTATGCATCGGATAAAATCGGTTGATTCTTAATCATAATACTTAACATTTATCCTCACTTCTCTGAGAAAAATCTATTATATTATTCTGCCAAGTAGTTAATTGATCCAATAACATCAAAATTCTTGTGCTTATTTTTGAAAAAATTAAGGAGTACTCTGACGCACATACACCAAGAAAAAAAGTTAAAATAAAAAGTTTATAAGCAAATGTTACAGTTTTTTTTCGATATTTATTGGTTAGAAAAAAATTTGATTGTGATAATGAAATTATGTACTTCTATAAAATATATTTTATTCATTGTAAAAACATAAAATAGGTGGTTTATTTCTTAGGAATAAAAATTTATTTTAGTAAAATAAAATGTGTCTCGTAAATAAATTTTCAAGTATCTTTTTTTCGTAGTGTAAGTTTTGGGATTCTTAATATGAACCCAAAGGACAGCTGTCCTTTGCAATTAACCGCATTTCAAGAGCACGTTTCCACTAGTCCTCCTCTTGTAAGTAAAAAAATGCTTTGATTCGTGTTAGATAAAATCAACCAATTAGATGAAATTGAGGCCGAAATACTTGATCTTCGCTCGTTTGCGAGAAATATCATAGTTTAAACCGTCGAGAGGATGAACTCTTAATAAACCGCACAAAGTTTGTAAGGAGACATGAATGATTCACATTCACAAGCCATTGACCGTTGCTTCCTAATCTCTCCGGTATTACATTCATGATGATCTTGGTTTCACAGAGTGTGAGACCTGACGAGATCGGTATCTAGCCTTGGTTCGATTGGTTCAGGAATTGTTGCGAGTTTCGTGTCCATTGAGATGAGACTTTATGTGCGCGCTGGAATGCACACAGGAATGAACGATTGACTTGGGTCAGTGTAGAGGGCAAGATGCCGATGAAACCGCGCTTCGAAAGGGAGCCGACAAACGGTTGATCGATGCTTCGTGGCCTTCCCTCGTTATCTCACGGAAACTCGGTGCGTTCTATCGATCGGATATACCTTCCCAGGCCGTTCGGGCTTTCGGACGCCTCTATCGGAGCGACCGAAAGCCTCTTTTGCTCCGGATTTCGCACGGAGAGTCTCCTGGAAGAGAGACGCGAAGAGCCAACCGAGCGTATAGGAGAATTCTACGTGGGTGGCATATACCGTCTGCTGGAAGCCAGGCTCGAAGGTGACCGGAAATTGTCGGGAATCTTATCGATCACGATTAGTTAATTAAACACGACTTTCGATAGTGATGAGGCGTGTGTTATTCAAATTACGGTATATCGATTTTTCGTTGATATCGTGTCGATCGAATAAGAAATTAAGAAGCTTAAGCGGCTTTCCAGCAGGTGTTACGACAGACAATCATCTGACTTTACTATCCCTCGATCGAATAATCGCCAGATGTTTCTATTTATACACCTTCGAGCGATCATGCGTGCAAAACCACGAATGTACCTAAGTCGCGCGCGTTACATTCATACTTATACGTACTTTTACTTTTATAGTAACTTTCATTCTCACAGTAAAGAAATGTTCTTTAACAATTATATTTTATTTATTTTAATCTTGCAAAATAAATAGTGAGCAAAAAAGAAAAACATTTTCGATCTAATCCTTTTAGAATTTATTTTGATTATTTGCTTAATTTAGCACGATGATTAAATTAAAAATGTATTAGTTGTACAATCTTTGCAGAAAGTAACGACTTGGAAATTTACACTTTCTATATAAAAATGAATGTTACATACAATTTTATAGTTTAAAGGAATTTTCTTATTTTATCTTAATCATTTTTTAAAAACATGTCTTGTTAAAGTAATATATAAAAAATTCTCTACTTCTTATTAAAATATTTTATTCAGATTCTGAATCGCTGCTAAACTTTTTGTATTACTTTCACACATAAATATAATACAGAAAAATCTATAACTTTTTCATAATTTCTTGATTTTGTTAATTAAATATGTGTAACATATTCTTTAATTAAAATTTTGCTCAAAGTTTAGAGATATTACTACTTTAAAATGTAATCGAATCATAATCTTAAAAGCGAGTCTGGGCAAAATGTTTCTCGCATTGTAACAGATATCCTATGCATATTATAAGCCAGAAATTCAAGTATACATATATGCGTTTCAAAAGCAAACGGACGTATGGCGGATATTGTTCTTTGGACTGTTCAGAGATATATCGAGATCGTTCGGTGCGCTATCGACGACCTCGGTCAAGCGAAGAGAAATCTTGTGGGTGTATTGGACCGGGCAGGTCCAGGCGCAGCAGCCGGTTGCGCTCGTAAAACCGAAAGCATTGTTAGTGGAGTGTCCAATGTTCGTTCGCGCTGGACGTTGTTAAGAGAACGAAGCAAGCGGCATACACATCCCACACAAACAGCATTCTACGCGTGCGCGCGCGCACACACACACACACACACACACACACACACACACACACACACACACACACATACACTCACACGTACAAGAGCGAGATATCTCACGCTGCATCGTAAAGCGCGCAAATAAACCGAACTCAAGTCAAACGAGCGAAACTCAAACGAGAGACAGGGGGACACAGCGGCTGTTTTAGGTATTGCTGAGGGGCGAAAGGGTGATAGGAGGGGGTGGTTTCAAAGTCGTAAAACCGTGTCGCGAACGCCATAACGAATGCAATGCGGAAATTCGCCGGCTAAATCCTAGAACGAGCGAAAGAGAGCGAAAGATAGCAATAGCGAGAGAGAGAGAGAAAGAGAGAGAGAGAGAAAGAGAGCGCAAGAGAGCGAGGGTTGAAGGCAGAAACGGAGCGAAATAGAGGGGAGAGTGAACGGTGGAATGGCATGTATATATTCACCGAACTTTCTCGACTAATCCACCGAGCTTTATGAAGCTCTTCTCGAGACGAGCATAAATTCACGTGAATCTGCTGTTATTGTAGGCGACGGGTCGGGGAGCTATATAGAAAAGCGACCGTATTTTTCATGCGTGCATTTGCGTCACGTTATTTCGGATTCGAGAGTATGATAGGCGCCGAGAAAAAAAAGTGTTTATGAAATCTGAGGAGGGAAAGATTCGTCGGACTTTGTGATATCCTTTATTTTACGCGATCCATTCGTTCGTCAATTATCTCCTATATTTTTATCACGTCAGTGACATAATAAATTCATCGTATCAAAATATGATTTCAAGTCAGGGGTTATTCATATTTCTGTGAACGCATTATTCAAATATGTAAATCGTTGTGAATAACACGGTGTGCTTGATCGTTAACGAGAAGCGCAAGAAGCAGGTAGAAAAGGCTTAACAAGATAACGCAAAATGTAGATAAAAAAGAGAAAGAGAAGAAGGGTTGGAGATAAGGCTATCGTGACGATTGAAATTAATTCAGTGGGTACGCAAGTATGTGTGGGACATGGGGATATGTGTGGTAAGTAGGCGACATGTAACACAACAGAATCAGTGTTCAAAACGGAAGGAAACGATAGGAAACGGAAGCAAAAACGGCGTATAACGGCGTATTCTTCAACAATTAATGGATTATTGTAATGTTAGCTCAATCCAAAGTCCAAAAAGGAGGACGGTTATGCAGCACGTTTAAAGGAAGTAGAAGATGATGACAAAGATAGAAATATGTAAGTATATAGATAGATAGAAATATATGTATATATACAGGAACAAAGAGAGAAGTCAACTCAACATACGAGAAAATAATATCTCGCGCGGAACGTTCGTGTCGACGTCGTTCTACTAGTGCTTTGAATTATAGTTTCTCATTTAACTGAAAGAAAAACATTCCCCGGTAATAATAAAAATAAATAATTGAAATTTTCGATTCGTCGATCATATAAGATAATTGCTGTTAAATTATAATAATACTATTTCTTATATCTTATTTGACAATCGTAGTAGAGATTAATCCACTTGAGAATTCTACAGTGGAAAGCTAATTGTACGTTAATTCTAGATAAATGATATCAAAATTGATTATTAGATTACTATCGTTATGATAATGTGAAATAATAAAAATGTACATTAAAGAAATCGGAATACCTTCCCGTGTTGTGCCAATGAAAAATTGTAATGCCTTTCTACGTCATTTAAGAATACCGCATGAGCGTGAGAACTAGCGGTATAAGAATATACTCGATCCGGCAGAACGCACGTCACGAAGCGCATCCGCGCGACGAAAACGAAGAGACGGAAACAGAACGGAACCGAAACGCAGGAGAAAACACTGGCGAAGAGGAAACGGAAAAAAAAAAAAAGGAAAAGAGTTAAGAGATCATACACTGTATCACAAATACATCGTGGTACAAAAAAAAAAGGAACAAAAAGAAGTGGAAGAGAAACAAAATCCAGAAGGAAGAAAACTCTCGTTGGGTTACTCTTGGCACGCACGAAAAAGAAGAAAAAAATCTTGGCTCTTCAAGTAAGTCGTCGGCTCTCACGGGGACTTACCATTCTTTTTTTGGACAACGACTTTGGCGGCGACTTTACGGGGGTTGCGGTATGCCGAACGATCGGAGTTTTGAGTGGTAGTAGTAGAAGTAGTAGTAGAAGTAGTAGAGGTAGTAGTAGCATAGTGTCGTGCCGAGATAGGAGGAGTCCAAGGCCAGTGTGATTGATACAAATATAATAGAGAAGGAGTACGATATAAAAGACAGTCAGTGCAACTTCAGGGGCGGGGGGGTTGGTGGGT